ATTTTTCTGGATAGCTTGACAAATCCTGTCATGTCAGCTATTTAGACTAGCTCCAGAAGTTTTGTAAACAAATCGCTTAAAGGGTCTTTGTAATTACCCACACGCGTTGTTTCGTAGGGGTATAATCTCCCACAGCTTCTGTGAATGTCTGAAGAGGTGAGTAAACAGCCTTACATCAGTGCTTTTCTAGCCTTTTTCTAGCCTTTCTAGCAGTGCTTTTTTATATCCTTTTGATAAAGAGGGTACATCTTGCTCACCTTAAAAACAGATTTTCTATAGCTCATCCTAGACTGTGGGCTACTTAACCCCCTAAATTGTTTGCTGCCTGTTTGTTATGAGGACAAATAAAAGTACCTGCCATCTAAACTCTCCCTGAAAGTGTAGGTAACACATCCTTCCACATCCCTCCAAATCACATATCTGTAACATGAAGTTTCTCTCAATGGACTGAAACCAAAGTAGTCATGTTTTTGCCTGCCTGGCCTACTAACCATCCAGCTTGGTTTGTTAGCTTTTTGGTTTCCCACACGTAAAACCTGTTATCTCAAAACTCAGCATGGAAGAGGCACTCCAGTCCACGTGCCTGTAGATGTTCTTTAACTTAATCTTATACCTGATGACACAAAAGTATGTTTACATTTATGCTGACCGAAGGCGGAGTTCCCTCGTGCAAGTCGATATGTTTTGCTGCTGTGGGAATTTTCAGGAAGAACTAGATAAGAGGAAGGAAAAGCTGTGTGCAGATGTGGAGTCTGTACTGCCCCAGCAGGAAGAACCTGAGGGCTGAAAGCATCTGTGCGGCGGTGGGGAGGGTATGTCAGTGCAGCACTCCATCCGTACCTGACGGGCAGCGTGCACGGCACCAAAGGACAGTGATGGAAGTGCCTGCAGACACATCGGTTTCCTTTCCCTTTCTCCTTTCTCTCATCCCCCTGTCCACACCTACAGCCTAGATCATCGCAATCGTTGCAGTTTGGGGGACAAGGTGATTAGGAAGCTTTTCAAATCTTCTTTTTAAAAAGGAGAAAGTCTGAAAAGAAGTATTAAAAAACCTCAGCATCATTTTCCACAGCTAAAGGCCCCTCTGCATTTGTTCTGTTCCCTTTAAAGTCTGGAATGCTTGTGTTGATTGGTTTTGGGGGGTGTGGAGGTTTTTTCTTAAGCAACTTCAAATTTCCATAAATTAGAAACACATTTAAGTTTGGGAAAACAATTGTTTGGCAGTTGTTTTTACGAGAAAAACATACTGCAAACACAACTCCAGACTGTGCTACAAAGACCTTTCAGGTTGGATTGCACTGAGCGATGCAGGACCAGCCTAAATACTTGAGCAAACTGGCACATCAGCCAAGCTCAGCACACAAAGCTAGGGTCTTAGACACAGTTTACACGTAAACGTGATAGTAGGCTCACACTGATTAGTCTCTCAACCAAGGTAACCTGGGAATAAATCCACCGCGGTTTTGTATTTTGAGAGAGTCCGAGATGACTGATTTTTTCAGATACAGAACTGTAACTGGTTCAAAAAGGGTTGCATGGAGGTAGGCAGGTGATAGTGGAAGCTTAAGACTTGTGCATGGAAGCAAGAACAAGCAAAACTGCTGAAGTGACTGCTGAGTCCACTAAGATAAAGCCACATCAAAGAGTTATTCACTCCTTCCGGTAACGTTGAGGGGCAACGGATGACAATTAAGTGTTCTGTCATTACAAATCGCTTCAAAACTAATTCAGAGATAGCATAGTGTGATAGCCCAAAGAGATGCTAGTTTTTCATTTAATCCGGATAACACACTAGATTAACCGAGTCAGTAAACCCATTAATGACATAAAGTATTTTTCAAACCTTAAAAAATCATAGCTGTAGACCGTAGACTGTGTTGTTTTTCCCCTGTGAAGTCCTTGCATTTGATCAACATGAATAAGGACAAAGTCTTTTCCAGAAGTGAATATTGACTCAGCATGGCTCTAAATTTCATACGTGCTCTCCGAAGCACCTGAGGAGCACACTTTCCAGCAGTGCTGAGAACGTACCCGCTAAGCAAAAACCTGTCCCTTTGCAGTGTTGTATACTGTTACCTCAAAATTGCCAAGCCAGGTATCATTTGGAAGACTCAGCCTAAATTTCAAGAGAAGTATAGTGCTAAATTGCCAGTGAGAATTTGGGAACTCCTGCAATTTGTAGGATCAGACAAAGAGTTCAATGTTTAACCATGTGCCTAAGAACTAAGATCCAGTTGCAAAGAGAAATGCATAAAATCTTACTTCTTTGACCTTTATTAAATTAGGATTTTTAAAGATATAAAGTGGATGATAGCAGCATCAAAAATCTCATTTTATAGCTTCAAGGGTCTGAGCAAACATCCTCTAGTTACTCACAAATGACAACAGATTAGCTTTTGGCAGATCAGATAGGAAGTCTGTGTGGCACATCATGTCACATTATAATGAGGAAGGAAGCTAGGAGAATTTTGGAACAGAAGAGCGAAAGTTGGTTTTGGTTTTCTGACATAAACCCTTACAATAGAGTGTCATGCCGTTCCATTTGTCTGGTGAAGACTTGTGGTAAAGACCACGGGGAAATGCAAATATAGGAAGCAACATCTGTAAAATCCTGTTTTAAAATCTCAGCACCATCAATACACAGAACTCGCTGTGCTCTCACGCTCAGTGGTACAGTATATGCTGAACTTTCAATGAAAACAGGAAAAAAAACAACTCTTATTTGCTTTATCTTCAGTATATGTTTTTGTCTGTATTTTGCCTTTCATTGAATTGCAAAGGCCTGAAGTTACATGTTTGTCTGGGTCTTCGGCTCATGAGTTTTTCTCATGCATACGTCTAAAGTTATATTATAGTACATATTGCTACAGAAAGTGCTTCAAAACACACACAATACGCAAATGGTTTCAATCTCTCACAGTTTAGAGCCCAAGTTACCTTCAAAGCATAGAAATAGGGACAAGGTATGCTAGGATTATGTCATGATGATGAAGTACAGATATTTCTAGCATGGAATTCAAATAAACCACTACAGACGTGTACTAGTCAAATTTTCATTTGACAGCGTTTCTGGGGGGCTGTTGTGGTTCTTTTTAGTATTCCAAGTTCACGCAATAACGAGCCCTTAAACCGAGATCCCAGGGCCGGTTGGCAAGAGGTGCGGTACAGATATAACCTGGGGGAAATTCCATATCTGAGGAAATGCATTCTTGGTGTGTGTCTGAAGGCATCCAAACGTTGAGGATGTGAGGGAGAGAGGAGCAGGCAGGATCATCATGCAGTACATCGCCTCCTTCTGTTGTCACTTTGATCACCCTCACAGCTCTTAACGCTACGCTGTCAATGCCAAATGAGACGACCTCACTTGACTTGACAAGTGCAAGCATAGTTTTGCCTGCAGCTGACTAGGACTCTTTCGCCAGTAGTAAAGTATTTGGTATATCAGGTCTTAAGCTTCATGCAAAAAACCGGAATAATCCCCATGGGTTCAGCTACAACCTTTCTTGTGGGATTTGCTCATAGGCTTCCTAGAGCAAAATATCCAAGTAGCAGTTAGCCTTAACCTTGCTTGCTTAGAGAGCCAACAGTACATGAAACAGACTGTTATAGTGTATAGTTACAATATATAGTTACAGTATAAGGTATAACTCATTGAAACCACAGAGCACCCCCGTCAGATGCTCAGTATTTGCCAAGCTGAATTAAGTGGGATTTCTAGAACTGAGAAGGTGACTTTGGGATACCTCAAAATGGCTAAACAGCTCAAAGAAATCAGAGACTGTATTTTGCCTCCTGCATTTGGCAGGAAAAAAAAGAATACTTCCTTCTCTTTGTAGCACACCCCAAAATACTTAAGATTATAATCATCAGAAAGATTGGGAATGCTTTCTTTCAGTTGAATAGATGCATGGCAAAAATTCCAGTTTTGTGTTCTTTTAAGCCTCATTTTTGCTCTTAGGATGTGTCATGTTCTTACCCCTGAGAAGAAGGGTTGCTCTTCTGTGGTATCCAGAGAGCAGAGGGAGCAGTTACATATTAAGATTGCAGCCTTTTGTACTGTTTATGAAGATGTTTATGAAAACTACTTCCTGTTATCAAAAAGATGCAGTGTCCAAAAGTGCTGTTCCCTTTATAAGTTCATATTGTTGCAAATACTAAGGGTTCTCTCTTCTCCTAGACAAACAGCCTCTGTAAGGTCACACAACCCTCTAGACATAACATAATGACAAAGACATTTTTGGATGATGATGCGTAAGTGTTCGTCACACACTCTCTACATTTTTTGCACTTTCTCTGTTCCCATCACTACCCTGAGAAGTTTATTAGTAATACAGGATAGAAGATTATAAGCATTAAAATGTTACGTAGTGGACATAAGAAGTCCATAAGGATCTCTGCTGAATGAGACATGGAAGACCTGCTTCTCTCTTCATGCTTTTTTTTTTTTCCAGTGTGACTTCTGTGAGACTACATGGCAATCTTTTATATTAACTCTTCTTCCAGCAACATGTGGAAGTTTTGCTCTATGGTTTAGGATCCTGAAGGGTTTGATTCTATTCCTCCGAAATCTGCTTGAAAGAATAAGCTATTTTGTAGAAACCCTGTTTATACTCCTTGCCAGGTTTTTGCGTGCGAGTAACAATTAATTGATGTGGTTGTGAAGGACCAATGCTCCCTTTTATTAAGGGGCTGCTTAATGCTCTGCTCTCACACCATAAATTTAGTGAAAATTATTCAAGCTTCTCACAAATGTAATAATAAAATTTCACCATGGCTTTTTAAACTGCATTCTTCAATATTCTGTTTTTACAAAATTGAAAACTATTTTAAAATAACACGTGTTTCTGGAGAAAAAGTAAACGGTTCACTTTTGAAATAACATGACAATATTTTAATAAGAAAAGTCTGAAACTCAAATAAATGACACCTATGCAAGAGGAATCATACCTGTTCCTAACATGAACAGAGGAATTACTAAAACGAAACACAATATAATTTTAAAAGAATAACCATATTTATTTTCTATTAAAAACAGACAGTTGATCAAGGTTTAAAATATAAATATCAAAATTATTGCACTGTTAGGCAACTAGCTTTGTTCGGCAGCAATAGTTTACAACATCATTGTCCAATAATATGATCTGGCAGATTAAACTCCACAAAATCCATGATGTGTACCTTTTCTGTTTACATCATAAATCATCCTACAACAGTAAGATAATTGTTCTGGCGTATGTATAAAACATCATACAGTAATACAATACATGCTTTATGAAAGCTGGAAAGAAGGAAAGAAGAGAGAATGTCTCTTAATGCTTCCCTTACACCTTTGACTCAAACAAATTTAAGCAACAGATATTTACCCTCTCATTTGCAGTCATTTAATATAGGCAGTTCCAAGTATACATACAAATACACATATATTAAGAGGATTTCTTATAAATAGCTATTGCTTTTATAGGAAGCTTCAAATATACAATCATCTTCTGTATGTCTTTGAAAAATTAATGTCCCAGTTTAGTCTATAAAAAAATAAGAGTTTGTCCACAGATAAATATCCTTAATTAGAATGCGACTCTGTGAACGTCCCGAAGAGTTTGTCCCAGTGGGTGAAGTAAGGAGCATAGTTTGATTTGAATTTCAGATGATGGAGATCATGATGTGGTGCTCCTCCGTACAAACCAAACGGCACGAGTCGGTGAGTTGACCACGGAAGGTCGTATCCTGAATGGTCCTCCACTGACAACCAAATGTTTACAAGGAAGAAAATCATTTCTGTCAAAGGATGGCATTCGAGGAGCACTGGGTTGATAGCAGCAAAAAATCCCAGTGAGAGCAACTCCCATACACTGGAATACTGTGTAGTAAGAGCAAACGTTGACACGTGCTTGTGATGCACCTTGTGGAAGGTCTTGTAGAGCCAAGGCACCTTGTGATGAAGCAAATGCCACAGGAAGTACTCAAAATCAAACAGAAGCAGGCAAACTCCTACTTCCAGCAGGACCTCAGGCAGCTCTGGAGCTATCACTGGTAGATTCATCGGTCTCCAGTACCAGTGGAGAAACGTCACCGGGAAGATCAGAACAACGTGGTGATACGCACTTTGAATAATGCAAGGCACCATCATTCCCAGAGTTGGATAGTTCTGCGGCTGGATTTTGTATTTTCTCAAGTTTGGTAGTCTAGTGCTTAAAAAGTCCAGTGCAATATATGGAAGACAGAAAGCCATGTATGCTGAAAAAGAAAACAGCACCGGAAAAAACGGTGACTTGATCAATGGCTCCTTTGCTGTGACAAAGTCCCAAAGAGGCTGAAGGCACAACCTGTCCCGCTGTCCATCCATCACGTAGCTGAGCAGCGCTCTGTCTGGCAGGCTGCGGTTCATGCTGGTTGCAGTCTGAGAGGTCTGTAAATCCTGCAAGCCTTTATCTAGCCTGCTCAAGGGAAAACTCCGCCCATCAGAAATCCTCCTTACTTAGTAATATGTAGCTTTAAAGAGGAAGTTCCCTTTCCTGTTATAAAGAAGCGGTATAATATCTTACAATCTCAGAACAGAATTAGCTGGCCAGGGTAATCACAGGAGCTCTACAAGAGACTTGCATGATAGGAAAAATATGCAGAAATGCAGAACTCTCACCCTGGAATTCAGAGAAAGAGGGTAGGAACATTTTCCACTCCACTTAGTGCACACACTTGAAAAACTGCTGTCTCCTACTAATTTTAAATTGTGTCATCCTTTGTTATCCTTTTGCCATTATAGGTAAGGAAATGCAACCTACCACTGATTTTTTTATGTGACTGCTACCAAAAATGTACGTGTACCTAAACCCCAGGTCTGACCTGTGGATGTTTGGTGGGTAACGGATGTGTGCAAACACACATTTTCTTAGTGATCCCTTATGTCTTAGTACACAACAGGCTAAGTCAAAACCTTAGGGAGACCTACGCTATGCTTCCAGTCTGGATGTGGTGGCTGTGACTTATCTCCATCTACTTCTGAGGTCATGTTCTCCTTTATGCTCCTGTATCTACCTGACACGGCAAAATTCACCTGACTTGACTAGATGCAAAATTGAGCCAACAACTTTTGAAGAACAAAATATCCCCCAGTTGCTGGGAAGAATACAAGGTAAAAATCTCATTATGCTTCCAGATACTTAGTGACAAGTATTATTGCATTATTACAATATTCACTCCACATCTCAACAGCTCTTTGAGCAATGTGATATGGAAATCATCCTTTACCCAAGTATCAAACTAACTTACGCAATTAAAGGATCCACTGGTTAGACCTATGCCCTTTAAAAGGTCTTCCTTTGACCATAGGCAAGCACACAGCAGACAGAAGCTAGCAGGCTTGACTCCCAACATTTCTAATTTGCTAAAAGTATTTTAGGGGTAAACGATGGAGGTTTTGATTTAACCACTAAGACATCACTTCTTTTGTGCTTTTAGAAAAAGACAAACAAAGCTTTGAACATTTAGGGAAACAGAGCTTGCCATCAGCTTCCTATGAACTCACCTCTTTTGTAGGTACAGCATTTATTCTAATATTGGAAATGAGCTCAACTTCCTGGATGACTTTATTAGCTTGTTCAGACAATTTTAGTTCTTTCCTATTCAGAAAAGAAATCTGATGGGGGAAATGGAATTTCCTTTCTTCTCAATAATTAAGAATGATTAACAGTGACCTTTTCTGAACTATGCATGGACTTCTAATACTTAAGTTTGCTTTCAGTCTCAACTGTCTTCTCTTCAAGAGATTCTGCTCTTAAGGAAGTGCAGATTTTGCTCTCTCCTTAGACTTCGAGGAGTTTACTGAAACAGTAACATTATCTGTGCTATTATTCAGGCAATCAGGAGTTCTTTGTTGGAGACAGGTATGGTACGGCCTTCAAAGACTCTACCCGTCGCAGATACATTTTAGAAATAGATTCAGATTCTCTGCTGTTGTGAGACTGTTCTGTTGAACTCAATTAATTCAGGCTGTTGAATGTAGTGAAACTAAAACCCAGGGAGAGACACTAATTTAATGGATGAGGATCTATATCCAAGAGCTTCATTTCAATCTTCTGATTGTATTTTATCCCGACCTCCATTTCACAATAAGGACATGAAAAATGCATTTGCAACTCAAATCACCATCTGGGTCTGAAAATATTCTTGTGAGAGATGCTTTCCGTTGATTTATGCAGTTACAATCAGAAACTAAGCCTCCCAGATGGGATACGTGATGCTCTATTTTATTAGAATTATGCAGGGACTAAATTTATTCTATAATGTATTCCAAATCTGCCTGAAGGGAGACTGACAGAAATTGCTCAGCTGCCCTAAAGACTCTCCTCCGACTAATCCCTAATAGCCATGTGAAATCTCAGGAAGTTTTAGAACCACTGCTGCCTGTAAGCTAAAATGTAAGGAATAGGCATTTTGCCTGCAGATTAGGTCATAGAAAAATATTCTGAAGTCCCTTAAGGAAAAATAACGGAATTCTGCAGTCTTATTACTAGTATATCCTGCAACGTAAAGCCCAAGCAAGGCGCAAGGCGAGCAGAACTTACCTGGGAGCCTGGCGCAGCCCCGAGCCGGGCTCCGCACGCCGGCAGCGCGGCCGTCCGCGCTCCGCACCCCATCTGCTGGCGCTGCGGAGGACGGGCTCCGCTGGCAAGGCTGGCCCCGGCTGGGGGGTGAGGCAGGGGCCGGCAGAGGGGGCGGCGGGCAAAA